GCCTCTTCCCTCCTCTTCTTCGGGCCGTACTCTCCGATGAAAGAGCCGTCTTCGCCGAACTTCGATGAGTCGCCCTCTCCGTAGTCGGCCATCGAATCCGTGTCACTCTCTGCCTGATGTAGACTATGGTTCAGAGACTGTCGACTCCCCCTTTGGTGTGGACCTCCGGCTCCACCCAAAGGCTTATTGTATTCATTAAAGCCTCCCTCTTCGTAGTCCTCCCGTCCCTGTGCGGCCTCTTTCTCGTGAACCGAGTACTTCCCGCCGCGGTTTCTCTTCACAATACACACCAATACGACTAATACTATAATGAGGGCAATGGCGCACATCATGCCTATAAACCACGGCGCAAAGTTGGCCAAGTGAGCCGTACTATCAGCTCCCGGTCCTCCTATAAAGCAAAACCATTTCATTAGTTGGGAATTAATCAAGATCAAATCCATTATTAGTGTTTGTTATGTGAGTGTAAGCGAAATGTCCTCAAATAATGGGTTAAATTCGTTAATCGATTAGTCATTGCGATCACCAATCAATCAGATCAGGCAATAGAAAAATATTAAGAAATGCTTCAGAATTAAGACATTTCTTAATGAATAATAGCTACTGAAGTCCCAAAGCCTCAGATGAGTCACAGATTTAAATGTTTTATATAAGACGCACGAGTAATGATACCACTGGACGAGATCTCCTGTGTCTCACTGGGGGTCTCGAACTGTCCGTCGACGGCCACCACTCGGATCTCATATGTCTTGTCCTCTTCTAATCCTCTGATCGGCACAATCAGTGAATCCTGATTCTCGTCTTTAGGAGTGTTAAGGAATCGTTCGCTTCCTTTAAATCAAATAATTATTAGAAAACACACGAAATGAGTATTAATACGAAATGTGATGACAAACCTTTGAGTCTGTACTGGACATAGAAATAACTGCCCGGCTTTTTGCCACTTCCTGTCGTGGGATTCCACTGGACTCTGAGCTCATCCTTACCGTCGGGAGACTTTCGGTGATACCATTCAAAAGACGGTTTGTCAGGATATTCGGCCGAATCCTCGGATTTAGTGCTGAGCTCTATATAGTAGGGTTCGCCCAACCCTTTAGTAGTGGTCGCGTGAATAGTTACCCTGTATTTGGTTTGAGGCATAAGTCCCGCAAGCCTTGCATTAGTGGTGAGCGGATCTTCAATCTTAGGATTGCGCTCAAGTCGACTGTCCAATTGAGTGCCCAATACTTTCTCATAAAATATTCTAAATCCAGTTAATATACCATTGGGTTCTTCAGGTCGTCCCCAAAACAAGTAGAGGGCATTCGATCCAAGAGCTATGCCATCGAATGAGGATACGGGACCTGGAGTTCCTTCGGGGGTAGTCAACATTATTTCATTGGAGTAATCGCTAGTATAGGCGTCATTAAAGACCACAATTCGGGCGTAATTTTTAGCGTAAGGCTTAA